CCTTGCAGAATCGCTCTCTTAAAGCGAGGAATTACGATAATGGACTGGGTTTATGGTGGAAGTGGGATGCTGAATAATGCCCCAGTGGCGAAAAAAGCAAAGAAATCCGTCGAGAACGCGCAAAATGGGACCCTTTCTTTGCCCGTTGACCTCCGATAATGGACGAGCTAGCAACCAATAAGAGGTCGTTTGCACATGTTAACCGATAGCCACCATCATACCAGCAAAGGCCATGCTTTGATTGGTAACGCATTCCATGGGAAAGTTATAGGATACACTCAAAGTGGAATACCTCATCAAAATGATAATCGAAGGCGCTGCTGCTGGGGGCGGAGCACAGACCGTGGCGGAGCTCAGAAAGGAATGGCAAGCCTTGTACGCTGCAACTAGCGCACCTTTGACCACAAAAACGCAACATTTCGTTTCCTTGGGCCCCTGACTACTGCTTCCACTGGTGCATGTACTTCCACGCTGCACACACACTTTATCGTAATCTCTCGCTTTCAAGAGCAGTGATTTCTTGGCAGGCTGACTTGGTAGCTGTCGGCATGTGAGCACAGTCACATGACGACAGCTATCATTTGTTATCGATGTGCTCTCTGTCTTTTTCTCCACGACAAGAAAATGGCTCCCACTGTACGAAGTACCATCGACATGCAAGGCGGTGTATGGGGTAACGGCTAAGACTTCCGAAAATGTCAGGTCGGCATCGCAACGCGGCGCCACGCCCCTCTATGTGCGGCCAATTCGCAATGGGCGCGGCGAAGTGAACATATTCTCATCCGTCCACATTATTAATCATGGACCTATTCTTATCCTTCGACATCAATAATGAGATTGAAATTACATCACAATACACGTGGAAAAATAGATTAGTAGGAATCATTATTCTAAACAAATAGCAATAGGAAGAATACAGATGTGTATTTGTATTAGTGTGTGTTTTGTTTCATTTTACAAAAAGATATGCAGCAAAATTTTTTCCAGACCCACAACCCACATTTTTTACAGAGGTAGCTTGGCAAGAGAAAAATCGCAGGAATAAGACCGCAGAAAACGGGATAGAAAATGAGTAAATTTCATATTTCATTTCAATTCCCTTCAAAATTAATCCAAGTTTTGCATACAGCGACTCCCACGCCATAAACGAGTTGAAAAGGGTTCGAATCTCTTAAGCTCTTCCATTACTCAACTCTTCTGGCAGAGACAGAAAAAGAGTGAACAAAAAGAAACAGAATAGGAAAAGAAGTAGCATAATACAGCAAATACTTCATAATTACCGTGATATGGTACAATAATCACCTCAAAATAAGTTAGCCTCTTTTCTCGTTTCTTTGGAAGCAATTCTCAAAGAAATCGGAAAGAGTTGAGAAGAAACAAAGGAATAAAGGCGAAACGCATAGTAAACAGCTGACGATTACCAGTTCATAGTGTGATTGATTGCTTGGCAAGATGCCAGGGCTGAGCGCTACCGTAACGATCCAGTGACACTCAACCTGCCTTCGGCTGATGATCGCCGCGCGCGGCGAGCCTACCTGACATTTTCGGAAGTCTTGGTACGCAGCAGGGTGGATGGCAGGGACAGTTCAGGATTGAGCGGCAGCAACTGCGGCCTTCCCCTACGTGGTGCGCAAAGCGCGTGCATGGTCGACTGACCCTGCATGACTTGGGGGAGCTACCCAAGAGTAATCGCGAGCAAGTAATCTACAGGCAGTAGTTGGTTCTCGTTCAATTGACGCTTGTAACCAAGCTTCGCTTCGCGCCCAAGTTCTCAACTGCGCACTTCGGTGTCGAAGCGGGTTACGGTGAGACCTCTTCTTCATCGTGCAGAAATCTTCTTTGTAAAAGTGCCAAAACATGTGCTGTTGCCATGGCGCGCCGCACCTCACTATGGGCCGCATAGTCATGAGGAGCCTTTGAAAAGGTAGTAACCACTTCCGAAAGATTTATAGTAGGTGAAAGTAGTACTGTTCGGGAGAGTGGGTGAGAACTCTTCTCATGTTTAACTTTCGTCGTTAATTGATAAGTGTGCGGGACCCTTGTTCTTTTCTGGCTAATTATGCGGAAAACGACCTAATGGAGGAGCAAGTGCATAACAGCAGAGACTACAATTATCCCTGTAGTCAATTTACAAACACACTGTATGTTGCCGTTCTGCTTTTTCGCGCCGGCATAGCCTCTGCTCGGACAGCTTCCCTCCATTTGTAGAATTTTCGTTGTGCAGGCTGCCAAATTTCGCGCTTTATGTTCATGTACCGATCATAACTCAGATGAATTTTTTCAACCACTCGAAATCAAGCTTGCTAGTTGCTAAATCCTGTATACCCACAGCAAGGAGTGGACTTGATAAAAAAACAAGTGGCACGACAAGATTTTCCAGCTGAATCATTTCAGGTACTAATCTGTACGGCCGCCCATATTGCCCTGGCAGGCCGTTATCGATGGCTGAACGACGGCAGATTATCGACTTACACATGAGTGGCATGAAGGTGAACGCGATCTCCAAAGCCTTGTGCATCTCACACGGTTGCGTCAGCAAAATCATCAGCAGGTATAATAATTTAACCATGATAAAATCATGTGTCATAGAGCAAAGCAAATTTTTTCGTTAACTCCATAAATGAGAACGTCCTTGCGGCGGCCCGTCAAAGCAAGCAGGCAAAAGCTGGTTGTAGCTCCCATGAGATTAAGCAGTTTGTTAACTGCTTTTTGGAAAACGCGTTGCAAAAATTGCACGAGAATGCTAGTTAATGAGCAAAAAAACGCCCCAGGCGGCTGCTGCTCGCGCTCACCTGGGGAAGTGTACTACAAGTTACGAGCGGTGAATGCAGCGCACTCAGTACTCGCACGCAAGCGAGGAGTGTGTCGTCCTCGCTTGCGTGCGAATACTTAGTGCGATCTGGGGCAAAAATTTTGTTCACATCCCAGTACTCCTGTGGAAGAGTCGCCACGCAATCTGTAGCATTGCTTATCCTTCCAAATTGAAAGTAAGAAGCTCGTATGTGCAAAAAGGTTGGACTTGTTTGGTTTTTTTTTCGCGGGTTTCAATATATTTAGCTTACGTAATTTTCCAGCAGTTTTGCAAAGAGGCAAACGATTCATCGATACAAAAGCGCTCAAAATGATTGTGACTGTTTGAAAAACTCGCACGTTCCAAGCTTCTATTTTTGGGACAAATTTGTCCGTTATTTCCCAGAGCATATTCAACTGTTTCTAGGGTGCAGAATGTCAAAAATCCTAATCTCCTCTCCCGTTTTATCGTCCTGTTCAGATGAAAGTTATGCTATTCGAGAATAGATTCTACCCTATCGTGTAAAGCGATCCAAAGTTAATGTGTTCGAGTGAGAGCAATAACATTTTTTTTGGAAGAGGTGTTTTGTGCACAGCAGCCTAGTGACTTGAGTTGGTGAGCGGTCTCTGCAAAGCCTTAGTGACCCGAGTTGTTGGGGGTGGGGTTTGAAGGCGTGCCACAGGATCGAACTGGAGTGGTTCTTGCACCCGAAACGAATGTATTGGTGCGAAATGGGCCGGCAGTGAAGAAAAAAGGAAAAGAATCCGTCAAAAACGCTTAGGTTGAGGGCTCACTCACCTTCCTAATCGGCTGTGCTAAGGGAATGAGAGACTAAGCGCGGAGAGGAGAGTATGAGGCGAGAGAGCGCTACAGATGAGAGGGCCAGACAACAGCCTGATAAAAGAAAAATCTGCAGCTTCAGCAGCTTACTTTGCAAGGCCTAGCCCCTCGTTGGGTGATTTCCATCTACGGGGATTGTCCCCTATGAGTCAATCTCATATACACCAAAATGAATCGTTAACACAATTTCTGCCTGGGTTGTGCTTTTGATCAGAATCTGTGGGCGACCTCATCCGAAATTCTAAATACTGCGAATGGTAAAGTTTTCTTCCCCAGCTGGTGCTGGAAATTTCGGAATAATGTTGTCCTGAGAAGTTCAACCAAGAGAAGGCCTACCCACAGTTGATTCACTGTTGTCCTACTTTGATAAGTTTAAACTATGGTTCACTTGAGCATTCGCAGAATTTGTCTCGCAGAAATTATGACCAGAACTTTTTCGCATCATTCAAGAACTTGAGGGTGCTCTTTTTCAGATACCGCCAAACGGGCATACTGTCACCAGCGTCTTCACCAGAACAACGCCGCACCCGACGAAAGAAAAATGAGTCTCCAGCAGTCACCGACACGCACGAATACAAGCCAGACTTCAAGCATGAATACAGTCATGCCGCTGACTACGTGACACATGATTTTCGTGTACACTATGCTGCCACTGGTGGTGTCCAGCATCCCGCTGACATGGCAGCAATGCAGCACTACACAATGATACCGGAGCACATGATAGCACAAGAATATCCCCAACCAGTGCTATTGTGAGCCGCCGTCTTTCCTTTCATGCCGTAGTGGGTACACTGTACCACGAGTTTGCATTGTTTGATCACATTATTATATAGTAGTTCGATGTTGTTTTTCAATTAAGCTGCCGTTTGAACCCCTTATGCCATTCAGCTCCTGCCTTATTTTATCTGCCTTCTATGACAACTGCCAACTGATACGACTATACTGCAAAGAAATTTTCGTTCATGTTCTCGTAGACTACGATGTTTGAAATATCGCCATATTTAGCTAATGTGTAACAGTTTTTGCACCTAGCCGCTGTTTTTCTGCGAAAAGTTTCCTTGATGATCGTAGTCTCGTTACCGTATGTGTTTATGTGTGGCGATTACCATACGTGTGATTCGAACTGAAATTTTCCTCCTCCATAGGATATCGAGTTGCTTTTCATAGTGCTAACGACTATAAACGAGTAGAGCGTGCACATACAAGTGCGCTGCCATTGCATAGGCGTCCATACGTAATATTTGCCTTCACTCAAGTACGCAAACCATGATTCATTCGTTTCGTAGACCTTGTAAATACTTTAGATCATGCCAAAATATCGATACCACGTATCATGCCAAAATAGTTTATCACTGTGCTAGTCTTGTTACGTAGCCTGAAAGTCAAATGGAAAAGAGATCTTACCCGCTCATATGCCACGTGATCAATAAATTTTATTATACGAGTGGATGAATTGTATGATTGAGTCAATGGCTTTCAAGAACCAGTGTAAGGACAGATGTCAAAAGTGGGCCGTCGAATACTTAAAGAAGTCGGTGTTGAAGTGTTAGTGCGTAAAAATTGTGAATCTCAAACGCGTAGCAACGTGAGGAACTCTTACAAAAGTGCTTTTGCTTGACTTTTGGGTAGAGCGCGTGGCTCCAATTGGTATACAGGCTGCCTTGCTGACACTGTTTTTCATTATCGTACTGCGACCGTTTCCCTTCACAGTTATATCTAGTGTATTCAACTTGGTAGCGCGCTCATGCAATCAGAGACTTAAGCCGTTTAGACAGAGCGAGCACCCGAAGTAAAGCGTGAATTATAATGTTCTGCTGTAGTCACGTACAATGCGCGACGCATTGACGCGCTGAACGTGTGCTCGCCTCCCACTATTCGTTTTCTCTGCGCTCTCTCAACGGAGAGAGAATATGTCGAGCCAACCCGCCAACTATACTGAGCGCCGTTCATGTAGGAGGTGGAGGATGGCACGCACGCCAGTGGCCTCGCGCCTAGTCTAGCGCGGCACCCGGGGATAACCTCCGCTAGCGCTGCGACGCTCATCCATTTTGGATTGCTGCCCAGGGGGTAGCCTCATTGTGAGCATAACCTATAGGATTGTCATTGCGGAAATCGCGTCGATGCGACGCGCATTGTACGTGATTGCGGCAGGAACGTCGTAATTCACGCCTTACTTCGGGTGCTCGCTCTGTCCAAACGGCTTATCTCGCAATCAGATGATGAGGCGGTTAGCCCACATCAGCACTTACGGAGGGCTGTTTTTGTATACAACACTTTCACCCGGAGTCTTTCGTGTTATGCCATATTCTTCAAAATGCTTTTCTGCATAATATACAAATCCACGCCAAAGTGAAAGCCATCGTGATTAGGGCAGTTAATAATTCTCACACTCAAACTTGCAAAGAAGTTGAGATTTTGACTCACTCCGGACAACTGGACCATGAGCAGATCAGAAGCCCTTCAGGCTCAACGTCGAATGGTTTGGCAGGTAGTGATGTCCTTGCCATCGTGCTGAAAAATGAGACTTCTTTTCTCGTATGATAATGGCAGGCACTCAAAATGGTGACGGCCGAGAGCTCGCGCATGATATCTAGATCGCTAGGTTTTTCTTGTCAAACAGTGTCACCTTGATTTCTGGACAATGCCATTGGCCGGGCTGTTGTCAGATGTTTCGTAGCTCAGCTTCAAAACGCAGCGTTATGTGGGAAGTGCTTCGCGGAGGAATATTGGAATGTCTTCGCGAGGAAAGACTTCGGTTTTCGTATGGCACGTGTGGTAACGTATAGCATTGTTCTTTCAAAGCTGTCACAGGAATGTGATACGTGTTTCTTTCAACCATTCGTAAGCCACCGCTTTTCTCTGCTGGCCGTCCATTCTTACTCTATAACTCGGAGAAGTCAGCAAAAATTGGGCTTACCAAACTTTTGTCCGAGCTTACTGCGATCGAAAACTATTACAATACTGAAAACATCCCAACCAGCCAAAAAGCTTCTATGGCAATAAATAGCAAGAAATATAACATTTGCGAAGCATACAGGTGAAATAGGAGTTCTTGAAGAAGTTCTATTCGTATAACTTCGCATAATGTATGCTATACGAAGTTATTACGATTGCTGTCGGAAGCAAGTTTGTTCAAAAACTTACGGAAACAACTTGCCGTTTTACGAATATCATTCTTTTCAGTTAGCGGATGCGAGGTGCCCTGAGCGCACGCGCGCTCCGGCCTACTTGTGCTCGGATGCGAATGCGCCCTTGCGCCACTGGACCACGCCTCCCTGCGGTCGAGGCCAGTTAGTCGGCGCTACGCGCGCCGTCCGTGTGGCGGTGCTCGTAGGAGCTGGCCACCGGTGGCAGGTCGGTGTTCACCGGGCAACGCGATGAGGCCAGCTAAGGCGAAGGGGCACGTCGCCCCGTAGTCCATGCTGGTGGAGCGCCTGTCATCCCAAAGCCGGTCGTGTCCTTCCCCTGCTCCCCGTCGCCACCCCGGATAGGACACGTCGGCCGCATGGAGCCTCCAGAAGATACCGAGTCCACGTGTCATAATGAATGTTAGAAATCTATGTGTGTTCCTTGTGGGTGTGTTGGCCGACGGTGGGGCATCTGCTGACGCAACTGCTATTGACAAAAGAGAACATGTTAGAGCCTGTAACATATACACGCGCGCTCTTTTATTCTTTTTTTCACAAGATATCGGGCTTCTCCTAGGACTAAGCCTCAAGGGGTGGGCAAGAGCTACGAAAAATACGAAAATCACTCACTCGCTCTGGAGTCTCCCCTTCCTCCGCCAAGGCTTAGTCCCTTTTCTAACAAAAAACAATCGTTTGACGCGGTTTTACTTAGTGCGTTGTCGTCGTATGCACGCATCTCTTGCATAGGGCCTTATTTTGTTGAGAGTACTTTTCTTTGAAGCTTTAGATGAATTTTGGATCTTTACATGTTCTGTTTTGTTTGGTGCTTTCTAAAATGTATTGTTTCGTTAGCAGATTGCGTCAGCAGATGCCTCACCGTCGGCCATCAGACCCTCCTTGTTATTGCATGTGGGTTTACCCTAATTATATCTGGTTGTTGTGTACATTAGGGTCTAGTAGGGCTGTTTACCTAGGTTAGCCCGTCGGCCACTAGTGCGTAGGTTGAGCTGCCGACGGGCGCCCCCTGTGTCCCCGGGGGGAAGTTGGGTCCGCTCCTCCTGGTGGGTGCTCAGGAGGCAGCGTGGTGGGCCGATGGGCAGCTCGGCTGGAGGTCGAGTGTCGGGGAGCAGGGGCACCGTTTGCGACATCCAGCGTAATCACAACATAACTGGTTGCTTTATACTTATTCAGGTCGATGGAACGTTTTTCGGCTAAATTAATAACGCATTAATTCAATATTTTGAAGAGGAGCAAAAACGAATTGTGAATAGATTCTTCGAAACTACTATAAAATCGTGTCATTGTGGCGCGACTTCTGATCTCAAATACCTCTACTGTGCAGGTGGGGGGCAAGGGGGTAAAAAAAGAGCCGCATTGCTCGTTTCTCACATCATCAAACTTTTCGTCGCATAAAGTGCAGCATTGATAAAATTTATGGCAAAATATTCCTTAGGTGTCCCATCCATAAGCAGAAGCAGGCCCTCCTTCACTGCTGTCATCGTCTACAGAACATGGCGTCATCTCCCATCGCCATCGAATTCGAGGAGGCCTACCGTAACCTGATGGATTAGGACAAGAGGAAGTGTACTGATCAGTGAGAAGTCACTGTGGAAATGAAGTGGTGTTCTTGATTACAGCAAGTCTCAGAGACAACACTAGGGTGACTTCACGCGAGGAAGAATCACCGGGAAACTGGAAGAAGGAAGATGTGTAACGAGTGTGGTCCAGGAGTTTGATGTTGCTCACACCATTGTTTTGTGTGCATGGGAGCAATATGGACCGCAGCCACTGCTGCCTCTAGAAGAGCAGGTGGGATCACGAACATACGCAACAGCAGGTGACTGCTACGTTTTGCAAGAAGCAAGAATGGACCCAGTCACAGCATCTAGTATTTCGTGAAAACCGAGCATCGGCCGGAACATTTGCTAGGTGTCGGGATATTGGGGATGGTTCACCAGTTTGAGGATCGCGTGTTCTCCTCAGTCAAAAGCAATTGTGCTCGGATGCGAATGCGCCCTTGCGCCATTGGCCCCGCCTCCCTGCGGTCGAGGCCAGTTAGTCGGCGCTACGCGCACCGTCCTAGCGGCGGTGCTCGTAGGAGCTGGCCACCGGTGGCAGGTCGGTGTTCACCGGGCAACGCGATGAGGCCAGCTAAGGCGAAGGGGCACGTCGCTCCGTAGTTAGTCTCACGCTGGATGGAAGCTGTCCTGTAATCCCCAAAGCCGGTCGTGTCCTTCCCCTGCTCCCCGTCGCCACCCCGGATAGGACATCGGCCGCATGGAGCCTCCAGAAGATACCGAGTCCACGTGTCATAATGAAGTTAGAAATCTATGTGGTTCTTGGGGTGTGTTGGCGCGACGTGGGAAAAAAAAGAAAAAAAAAGAAAAAAAAAAAAAAAACAATAAAAACAAAAAAAGGAATCATCTGCGACGCAAACTGGCTATTGACAAAGAGAAGCAATGTTAGAGCCTGTACCCATATACAGCGGCTTCTCAGTCGCCAAATTAAGTACATGTTAAGAACCATGGAAAATCCTGAAATATATCTGACTATTCCCTTGCCCTATCTCTCTTTTTTTCTTTTGACTCACTCCGGACAACTGGACCATGAGCAGATCAGAAGCCCTTC